GCTGGGTGGCGTCGCCGGGCGTCGTTGCCAGGGGACGGGCAGCAGCCGGTCACGTTGTTTTTGCTGGGGCGCGCTGTAAGCGCGGAGAGCGCCGTCCATCATGAACTGCCAGGCACGGCCCAATCTCCCGACGGGAAGGTGCGGGGTTGTCGAGAGAGTGTTGACGTAGCTGCAGGTCAGTGGCACGATGCTGCAAAGGAGACATGCGGGCGTGAGCGACGCGTGGCGAGAAGCGCCGGCAGCGCACTAAGCGCTGCGCGGGACACTTACCGCTGGTTCTGGCCGGAAGAGCGCGTAGGCCTTGCGCTGGCTGAGCGAGTTAGGGACCGGGTGCGCCGGCAGGATCTCGCGCTGCAGGGCGCTGCAAGGCTGACGGTTGCGGAAGAGACGGCGGCGCCGTAGTTAGGGCGCGGAGAAACCACACGCTGAGGCCGCGCAGGTCAGGCGCAGCTTTGGCGCTCAGGGTAGGCGCCTGTATGGTCGGGCCCTGGTGGCATGACTTGCGCTGTGGTAGGGGTTTACAGGCGCGGCGCCGTGCGCGCTCGAATAGATGCCCCCACGTGGGGGGTTGCAGCAGCAGGAGCTCACGTGCTCGTAGCGGGCCTCGCACGACAGCTCGTCCAGCACGGCGATGCGGCGCGTGGAGTTGAGGCAGGCGGGCAGGATGAGCTGGCCGTCGCGGACCTGCTCGCGGCACTGCTTGTAGCGAGGGGACTCCAAGACGTATTCCAGGCGCTCGTCGCTTCTCTCCAAGCGGCACTGTGCGTCATCGGAAGGCAGTGTTAGCGAGGGATCACCGAGATGGCGCCAAGGCGGCTACAGAGGCAAACTCACCTTGCCGTTCAGTTGCATTGCAGGATTGCTATTGGTTTTGTTGTTGTAGTACATGGAGAAGGAGATGTTGGAGTTGGGGCTGTATTCGCGGGCGAATTGGATGAAATACTGCGGCATGTAAGCCCATTTGCCCTGGACGTCGATCTTCAACTGTAAAGTGAAAAGGTCAGAAGGTGCTCCACACAGACGCTCTCCAAAGACGTAGTTCTTTCATTAAGTTACCTCTTCGACGAGCTTGGGTAGGGCGGGGAACCTAGTCTTGGTGACGTTGTAGTTGAAATGCAGGTGGTCGTTGTTTCGGATTTGGCTGGCGGTGACGTTGAAAGCAGCGCGGTACGCTTGCTTCTCAGCTGATCCAGTGGTGGTCATGCCCAGGTTGACGATGGTCGTGTGCGCATCTGCAACAGCGCCCATCATCGCTTACTCTAGCTTCGTCCATCTCGTGTGTCATTCATGAGGGCGACATGTTTGTGTGGCTTCTGTCCGCATGTGGGCTTTGGACTTACCGTTGCCAGGGTGTTTGGGGGACTGCGACCCGTGGCCACTGGGCTGTTGGGACAGCGGCAGCGGCGGCAGCCTGCTCTGCCTGGTGGTGTTGAACTGCAGTTTGAGCTGTTGCAGCTTCGTTTGGTCGATGGAGACGTTGAATTGGCTGTACTGGATGGCGGAGGAAGCGAATGGGAAGAACAGAATGGACAGGAAATCGCTGTCCTTCTTGCTGCGCTGCGCTTCGGCGTAATCTACAAACTCTTGCTGCGTGGAGATGTTGACAAGCAGCGCCTTCGAAGGGCCCCATGGGAACGTGACCTGCAACAGAGAGAAAACTTGCAGCTGTTGCTTGCGACAAAGGACTATGCACCGTACTCCCTACCGAACGAAATCTTACATTTTGTGCCTCGCGAATGTTCACCATCATCTTGTTCTTGCTCTTGGCGAGCGGGGTGATGTCCTTGAGTTGCTGGAAGGTGGTGAATGGCTCGGTGATCATACGGGCTACGGGCTCCTTCTTGTTCAGCTTCGGCTCCAAGAATAAATTGACTCCATGGATGAAATCACCGTTCTGCTTGGTCCTGAAGAAGGTGAAGTTCACGTTGGCCGGCAGGCTAAACTCCACCTGCTGTTCCACTCCAGCATCGTGCTGCATCTTGTACTTCTGCGTGATTTTTTCGATGAGGCCAATATGTCCGTACTTCATGGTGGAATACTTGCACGTTACATTGCCGATGATCTGCACTTTGGTGATAGTTTGCAGAAATTGCATAATGTTGGGGAAATTGCCGATAGGTTGGATGCTGGGGTTGGATTCGATTTTGCCTCCGAGGTGGTACGAGATCTGCACCATGCTCACCCTCTTGAACATGGCGTAATTAACGT